AGAGACAGACGTTTTCTTGCTTGATGTCTTCAACTCATGACCAGAAGCTGTTTTGGAAGAGGTCTTTTATTTGGATATGTGATTGGGCTCTGCTCAAGGAGATTTAGGTGAGATCTTCTTTCTCATGATATGCCAGATGCAAAGCTGTATTTTTGAACTAAGAAACATAGGAAATAAAAATAACATAAACTTTGATTTACTGCATACCCTGTGCAAACCACATGTCCTTGAAGGGCTGAGCTTTAAGTACTATCTTTAGTTTCTTTCTAACAAACAAACAAATAAAACCCCCATCCAATTCTGTATGATTTACTTTCTCCTGACTTTAGCCATCACACTGTAGAGTTAGCTGATTTGAGACAGGAAATCCTTCAATGAAGGAGAAAGAATTTATATATGGCCATTAAACATTGAAAAGTAAACATTTCAAGTGCCTCAGGCAGTTATGATTACACAGCTTATCTATGCACAGTGGGTTCATGGAGCCTTGTTTCCAAAACCAGAGCAGAAACTCAGCGGCTACTTTGTGGTGGATCTGGAGGTCTTGGCACCTGTTGTCCACGCCACTGAGGACAGTCTGAGAGCTGAAATAACCTTCCAGTAAGGTCCCTCTGGCTGTTGTGGCTCACTTGTAGGGGAGCTCAGTGCTGCTTTTTCTGAATCTGTTCCTACTGCCTGTGCATCAGTCATGCAGTGACCTCTTCTACACCAGGGCTAACAGCGATCTCAGGTGTGGCGTGTCCCAGGGAGCACTAGGGTGGGTGAGACTTTGTACAGAACTTGCATAGTCTCATATCCTGGTGAAGGAGTCTCTCAGTGTATCTTTGTTTTCAAATGAAGAAAAGAATTGGGGCTCTACTGCAGGGGGGTGGAGCATTACTCCAGCCAAGGGGCTTGGGTTTAGGTGACCCAGGGAATGAACTCTCCCCATTGTGTGCCCTATAGCCTAGCTGGAGGGAGTGCCTATGTGTCATCAGACCACTTATGGCTTGTTACTGTAGGACATGTTGCAAAAGGTCATCAGACGAATTTACAAACAAAATGCCCAAGGTGTTAAAGAGCAGAGGGTACGTGTCACCGGCTGGACACTCATCAAGTGCATGGCTGGGGGCTGCTCTCCTGCCCCATCAACTGCTGAGGGGAGTGAGCACCCCTGGCGAGGGCGCCAATGCTCATTAAGGCCTGTGCTGACGTGGCGTACAGCTCCTTTCATCCTGTGACCCCGGAGAGTGCTGTGCTGGGCAAAATGGGAACTGTCGCCTTTAAACAAAGCATCTGTTTATTCTTGAACCAATTAGTGAGGGCAGTTAGATCTTGAACTCGTTACTGAGCCCAAAACAATTACGATAAAAACAAGTTCCAGATGGGCTCAAAAGGAGTTGTTTTTGTCTTTACTAAATTAGAATGGATTCCATGTCTTCAAGTTCCTCTGGCATTTATGGACAGGAAACATGAATTACACACAATAATTTACTACAAACAAAAGAGATGAACGCTGCAACAGCCCATTTATCTTTGCTCATGTGCCTTCTTGAGGTTTATGTGCTGCTTAACTCATGGGGAGAGTTAATAGCTTTTTTCTTTGTTTTCTAACTCTTTGCTATTTTGGTTTGCAGAAACTGAGACAGGAAGCTGTTGAGTTTCTGTTGCGGGGTGAAGCTTACCTGCAACCCTAGGCAAATGCTTGCATGTTCCTCAAAATCACCCCAGAAATGGGGAAAACAAAACCAGAGGTAACAGGAGGGTCCAGTAGCAGTCTGTCACTGTGTATGTGCAAAACCATTCCCCTTCAGGAAATATATATATATATTTAAATCAAAGGCCAAATGAATCCACAGTTGAGAGAGTGCAACACACACTAGTTCTTCTTTTTCAGGAATATTTTCTTGTGAGTTGGTTTGTGGATTGTAAATGTTGACAGTACAACAGGTTACTATCACTAATCCTGCAGATAGATACAAAATGGGTAAATACTGTCTGGAAAAGAGAGTTGCCTCTGGTACCACCATGTTTCAGTTCTTTCTTTGAGTGACTTGAGCAAATGTCACAGATGGGAGTTCTTCCAGTTAGTTCCTCGGGCAACTCGGAGAGCCCCCAGACAGAGACTTTTTTCAAAGCCCATCCAAAATGGACTGAAGTCTGGGCATCAGACATACTTTTATGGGAACTCTGAGTTTCTGATGTCTTGGGTTCTGAAACTGATGCTGCACATTGACACGAATTGCTTCCAAAAGGAAGTGGAACCCAGAAGATAGCAGGCAACAGGTACATCATTGCTGCTCAGACCTGTGCTTACATCTGCTTTGGGTCCCTGGGCAGGGGGAGGTCAATAGGACAAGGCAGGAGGAAATCAGCAAAGAAACTCCTGAGCAGTGTTTCTGTTCTGGCTGTCCCTCATACCTTCTTGCTGCTGAGACAAAGGGTTTGGGTTTGCTTTTTTCAGGCTTTAGTTAGATTCCATGATTTTATAGAAGGTGGCATGTCGGCATCACTACAAAGGTGTATAATGTGAACTCAGCTATGCGGCTAGGCTGATGTGAAGTTGTGGAAGGACATAACTCCCCAAATCCATAAAATGTGACAAGTGTTGTAATAAAGACTAAAGCTGCCCCTGGGCATACTGTAGTGCATGAAGTCAGTTTGGCTGAGCTCCGAAGGGAGTGAGATCACGAGCAGAAAGCAGCCTGGGAACCAGGGGTGACACTGAGATTTGTTTGGCCTATTCTAGTGTGAGATGGTGAGCTTCCCAATGCATTTCATTGCTTCTCCTCCTTCCCCATGAATCTTAGAAAAGAAGGTCTTAATTAGAAGCCTGGACAAGTAGAGTTCTCCAGTTTTGGCTGGCAAACAAGGGAAAAGAAGAAAAATGAGAAACTGATGGCTTTTTTTTTTTAGATTTCATACAGTGTCTGATTTGTACATAGTCCTCCACAGGGAGTAAGTGGGATTGAACATTTGGATTCTCCTCTCTGTGGAGCTATTGAGACTGAGCTCCAGGACGATGACCGTCTTCCAGCAGAGAGGCTCCCCATGTTCATCTCAGCCTTGGTTCAAACAAGGAAGGGGCAGGAATCACAGTCCTTGAATTCAGCTTCTGGCTGGCATTGCCCACAGGCAGTGAGAGCAGATAGGAAGCCTCTAATCCCCCATCCAAAGGGGCAGGATATTTATTCCCTTATTTCATTTGTTATTCATTTATTCACTCTCAGTTCTTCGACTCAGTTGCTGCTTCTGCTGGGGCTGCGAGCTCTGCGGCATGCTGAAGGGCTGAGCTGCAGCAGCATGGCATTTGGGATGAAGCAGCCACATGAACACGGGCAGCCCTTTGCAGAGCTCCTGGCCCTGATGAGGAGCTGTCTTAAGCTCAGCTCTTCTCACCTGCCAGAGTTCTCATACCCATCCTAGCTCCCACCAAAAGCCTGTAACAACACAGCTAAGCTTGTTGACACTGCTGCAGTTCGAGGTCCAAGTTTCCCCCTCCACTCCATTCCCAGGATCCCTAATGCAGTGCTGGCCTGGAGCGGTTTCTCCTTTCCCCCGAGCAGCCAGGTCAGAGACGGCTTTCAGCACCGCAGTGCCCAGGGCGCACAGGAACCCATCATGGGACCCCACCTGTCTCGTCTTCTCCCCTCTCTCCCCTGGTGTGTTGCTTTAACCTTCTGTCCCCTCATCTTCCATCTGGGTTTTGTTCTTCATCAAAGGGCAGTCAGGGTGGAGGTGGTGGAAAACACAAAGACTCCCTCCCCTGCCAGTGATTTAATTTCCCATTAACTGAGGATTTAAAGGGAAATCTCAGGGCTCATTAAGGCTCTGATGACAGCTTAACCTTCTCCTGCAGAAACCCAACACCAGGCCCGTTCCTCCGCCTGAAACCAGGGTGGCTGTAACATCAGACCTGACTCCTGAGCACGGCAGACAGCTCTGGAAAGCATAATCAGCACGAGAGTAGAGCATGTCAGGTTTATGCAGACCTTTATCAGATCATCCTTTCAAAGAGTGTTTTGTAATATATTTGACACAGCTACGGGAGGAGCAGAGACACCCGGCGCTCTCCTGGGGAGCCGAAGGCAAATGCTGTCACCATTACTCCCCAGGGCATCGCTGGGCACCCCCTGACCCACCGCCCTGGTGGAACCACGCCGTCCCTCGGCTTCGGCCAGCGACTTCGCGCTGCCGGGTGCGACCTCGCACAGCTCGGGGAAGCGCCCTGTTGCTCCAACCAAGAAGCAGCAGAGGTTTTCGCACAAATGGCTAAAAACCCCAAGCCCTTTACGCATGAGTGAAGGCGAGACCCTTTGGACCAGCAAAGCACCCGGCACACCAGCTGAGGCACTCACGCACCAGCCCCTTTCCACGGCCCAGCTCCCAGCGGTGTGTCCCTCTCCCTCCCAGCAATCGGCTGTTCCCAGGCCGCGGGAACAACCCGCGGACAGCCCCCGGCTCTCGCAGGCCGAGGGCCCGGCCGCGGCGGACCCGACCTGAGCGCAGCGGACCCGCCGCCGGGGCGGGGCGGGGCT